GACTGATAGACTCCCCAAGTTATGTCTACTAGAGCAAATAAAATTACAACCACAAATCTCCTGGATCACCAAACTAACAAATTTTGTAAGAAGCTGTGGTCTTCCTGTCTCTTGCGTAACAGGAGAACAATTCAAAAAAAGGGCTGCCCAAAGAATTAAGGATATAGAAGCACAAAATGATATAGCGATCCTTAGTAAGATGGGTAACTTGAAATGGCTGAGTAAATACAAGCGTATTTTCAAGTAGACAGCTATTTGAAGTTACAACTGCCAAAACACCTTAGGGAGGTATTTACGCGAGCAAGATTCGAAGAGCTTGACACAATGGTCAGATATGGGAGATTCCATTCTATACCTTACAATGAGCGTCTCTGCATTTGCGGAGCAGCAGAGGTAGAAGACCTGGCTCACATACTATGTGATTGTTGCTTGTACAAGAGGGTGAGAGACAGGTTCCTCGGTCTATATATCAAACGAATGACTCATTGGGATCCCCATATCAAAACAACATACCTTATGTGCGGCCAGAACTTGAAAATAACATTTAACACAGCACAATATTTAAACAAAATGGTTCGGTTGAGATCTACATATGTGGGACTGATTGGGGTAGATTGCAAGGGTGACTCCAAGATATAATTTTATCATATCTATATTTTAAATTATTGTACTCTATTTTAACTTCATTTTAGACTGTATTTTACTCCAATTTCATCTTAAGTCATATATTATTCTAGTTCCATTTTAAACTGTATTTTATCAAATTTTATTTTAAATTGCTTTTATTAGACTTTGGTAATGATTTGTTATTGGAACCTTGCACTTTGATATGGCCCAAGGGCTAATCAATAAAGATTATTATTATTTATTTAAATAAATGACAATTGAATATAAACATTTTTCTCATGTTTCTGCAAATAATAACCAAATAATAAAGCTTCTTTTCATTGATCATCTTGATTGCCTCGTCATAAATCCTGTTTACATTCTTATTTAAATTTGTTTTCCCCACAATATTTAAAACATTCTTACTGGTTAAGATTTTCTCAAAATTAGTTACACTTAAGTATTTAAGTCTTTTTTCTCATACAAGCCATCACATTTTTACATTTCTCATATCTTAAAGAAAAATAAGGGAGAGGGGAAAATAAGACAAAAAAGAGAAAACATTTTTTTATGTAAACCATCCCAACATTTTTATATTTCTCATGTCAAAAAACCACACATAAAAGAAAAAAGGCATACTATATTACTTGAGGGGTTTGTCCCTCTTAAACTAGTCTTCATTTATATTCAAAATCTTTCTATTTCTTTAACTATATTCAAACAAATGTTTAATTTTTAAATACTCCCTCTGGTAATTCCCATCATCTAATTTCTTAATTCTCACTTTAGCCTCTCTTTTTTTTGCCCAACATCTTCCCTGTTCAATATGCTTCAATGAATCAAAGAATCTTCCCATAATCTTATAAATGTTGTTGCAGGTACAAAAGGCAAAACATGTAAGATGTTTTTATAGGAAGGTTTCGCCCCTTCGTATTCATTGAAAATCTCTTCCTTTTTTTCTTGATTTTATTTATTATTTTTTGTCTCTCAAGTTCTTGTAATTCTTCTGGCAAAATCCATTTTGCCAAATCTTTTTTCTTGTCCTCAAACTTATTTTGTAATCTTAAAGTGCAGTTTGTCTTTTCCATGTCCAGAGTCTCCTGTAAATTTTTTCCATCTGGGTTAAGTCATACTTCCTTGTATTGTTAAATTCCATCTTAAAATCTCTCTCTTCTGTCTTGTATTCAGTTGTCTGTTTTTTCTGCTCACTGTCTATTTTTATTTTCTGAGAATTTTTATGTTGTAAAGTTAAATTGGCGAAGTGTTTTCAAGGTTATGTTT